GGGGAATTCTGGGAGTTGAAGTCCACTCATCTTAAAGTGACCAAGTTTGGACAACACTGGGCTAGGCTAATGCAGACCAGTAAGGTCATGAGGAGTTCTGCAAGTGGCCCATGTGTAAATCCCAAAGTGAGTTTGAGTCAATATTTCTCACATTTCTAGATTATTCCACTAAAAAATATAGTGATATGTCTCCCGATATACGGAAGGGTGAAGCACCAGTGTCAGAATGCTGTGAATGATCTGCTTGATTCAGGATGTGGCCTACAGGAGAAGGCCATATTCCCATGAGTGCTGAAGGAGCAACTGTTAACATGAAATACATTCCCCCTAGGAGCTGTTCTCCTTTCAGGTTTACATTAGCCCTCGGTGGATATGCTGCTGACATGCTAACAACAGATGCAAATAGGCCAGCATATACAGAAAGCCCACTTAAACTTAAAGAGACATGCATGGAAAAGCTCTTGGAATTCACACGCTGTATGGGTCTTTCAGAGTTGTCCGGAAACTTGTTTCTAATACACACCCATTAATATTTCTTCCTTACGTACTATGGTAGCCATATTACCAGTTTCAGTGGAACTGAATAGTAGTATATGCCTCAAGACCACCCTCTCAGTGTCCTTTTGGATGCTTATTCTCCCTTGAGGTTGGACTTTTTGGCACATAAACCAAAGATGTTTATCTAGCATGATTAGAAAACTCCCAACCTGAGGAGTCTTCTCAGCCCTTAATTGCCTTGTCTTTTTTTTTCCATACTGCCCTTTGAGTGTATCTTAACCATTCTAAATCTTTTCTCACTGTGTATAAACATGCTAAGGCCTTTCCATTTTCCTTCCTCCTGGATCTTCCTCCCTCCTGAAACCTTTTATCGCCTTCCATTGTTACCCTTTGATCCCTGTCCCATGTTTCTTCATTGTTTTTAAAAGACTAAGAACCCAAATGGATGTCCAGTACTCCCACTGAGGTCTTGCCAGTGCTAATTGGGGCAAAATTAGGACAGTAAATCTCCTCTGAAAACAGTGAACACTGGAGCAGCCTTCAGTACCTAACCTGCAGTGTGTCCATCACAACATGTAAAATGGGTCTACAGGAGCTAAGAAGCATCTAGGATTGCACCAGACAATTTGGGAATATAGTTTGATGCTTGGGTGATCCATGTCCAGATTTCTATGCAAACAGTGATATTTTCATCA